TAACTTTGAAAAGATGATAAATGACATGCCTATGCACTCTGTGCCAGGCCCAGACTCGTGGAACTCTGTGTTCATCAAGAACTGCAAGAAGCTCCTATCATGTGCTTTTAACATCCTATGGAGAGGGAGCATGGACACAGGGGTCGTCCCACAGCTGCTAAAAACAACAGACATAGCCCCACTCTACAAAGGGGGCAGTAAAGCAATAGCAAAGAACTTCAGACCAATAGCACCAACATCCCATATCATAAAAATCTTTGGAAGGGCCCTAAGAAGCAAGATAGCCACTCATCTAGATACCCATCAGTTACACAACCCAGGGTAACTTGGGTTTAGAGCAGGTTGCTCCTGCCTGTCCCAACTATTGGACCACTATGGCAAGGTCCTGGATGCTCTAGAAGACAAACAAAATGCAGATGTAGTATACACAGACTTTGCAAAAGCCTTTGAAAAGTTTGATCGTAGTGTAACAGTGCACAAAATGTGTGATGACGAAATAACTAGAAAAGTTGGTAGGTGGATCTATAATTTCCTAACAAATACAACACGAAGATTAGTAGTAAACAGAGTAAATTCTGAGGCAGCTACTTTGAAAAGCTCTGTTCCACAAGGCACAGTACTCGCTCCCATCCTGTCTTCCTTTTGCAGATGACACTCAAATTTGCATGACAGTGTCCTCCATTGAAGATGCTGCAAGATTCCAGGCAGACATCAACCAAATCTCTAAATGGGCCTCAGAAAACTATATGAAGTTCATTGATGAGAAATTTCAGTTACTCTGATTTGGAAAAACGTGAGGAAATTAAAAATATATCGGAGCAGAAAACAAATTCTAACCACTCAATGGAGTGAGAAACTAATGTAAAAAACCTGGGAGTGATAATGTCAGAGGATCTCACTTTCAAAGACCATAACTTAAAATTGTTTCAATTTCATTACTGTACTGTGTATATTGTGCTTGATTGCTCAACTATTTACTAACTACTTCAAACTTATAATTGTTTCAATTTTGTTGTTTTAAGTTGTGCTAAATTGTAATACTTCATATTGTAAATTGTACTTGATGGTTGCTCAACTATTTAACCCATAAATGGTCCAAACGTATATATACGTTTTTTCAACATTTGAAAGTATTTAAAAAAGTAGATCATCTTTTTGTTTTTTTATATTTGAAAACGTGTAAAAAACTTTGATCTACGTTTTTTTTTTTTGTTATATTTGAAAATATGTAAAAAAACGTAGATCTACTTTTGGAGCACTACGCATATGAACGTAGATCTGCTTGGACCAGTTTACGGGTTAATCATTACAGTGGAACCTCAAAAATCGAACTGCTTCCAACACAACCAATTATGTAAGTGTATTTTTGTAAGTGCTTTTATAAGTGTATTTTTGAGGGTCTGAAATGGACTAATCTAATTTACATTATTCCTGATGGGAATAAATTCTTTCGGTAAAGGCACTCGAACAGCCTTCTGGACCGAAGAAAGTTCGATATTTGAGGTTCCACTGTACTTTAAACTTTAAATTCTTTCAACTTCATTGTTTTAAATTGTGCCTCTCCTCACTTAGTGACCTACTTGTTTACCAACAACTTGAACTTACGACGGGCTTTCTGACCAGTATGCATACCTAAATACATGTAATGTATATTAGAGCTGTTTCCTCTATTCTGTTTATTACAATGTATGTACAGCACATTACTGTATAAACATTTAAAAATATACCAGAGATATTATAAATGAAGCATAGGTGACATTAAAACAATATCAAAGATGGTTGACACAAACCCACTACCATAATAGTATGCTCCTCACTTAGCGACAGAATCGTTTACCGATATGGTCTTAGGAACGGAACTCCATCGTTAAGTGAGGAAAGGCTGTACTGTATTTTTTATATACTACATCAAAACTGTAATTATTCTCTACTAAACTTACTAAAGCTATATGGCATGAACTATTTGAATGTTTAGTTTTCTTCTATTCACTGTAACTCGCCTAATGACCATATGTAAAATTACAGCACTGTTATTGCCTTATTAATCTTAAGTTAATCTTAAGCATGTTCACCAAATTGTAATACTCCTTTGTACAGACATGTATCATGCTAAAATAAACTTGTTATTGTTATCAATCACATCTGCTAGAAAAATGACAGGATGGATAATAAGTACCTTCAAAACTAGGGATGCCAAGTCCATGATGAAACACTTCAGGTCACTTGTTCTATCTAGGCTTGAATATTGCTGCACACTAACAGCACCATTCAAGGCAGGTGAAACTGCTGACCTAGAAAATGCACAGAGAACCTTCACAGCACATGTAAGTGCGATAAAGCACCTCAGTTACTGGGATCGCTTGAGGTTCCTCAACCTTTACTCCCTAGAAAGCAGGCGGGAGAGATACATGATTATATACACTTGGAAAATCCTTGAGGGATTAGTACCAAATTGCACACGAAAATTACTCCCCATGAAAGCAAAAGACTCGGCAGACGATGTAACATCCCTCCATTGAAAAATAGGGGCACCACTAGCATGATAGGAGACAAAGCAATAAGTGTGAGGGGCCCAAGACTCTTCAACTGCCTCCCGGCATACATAAGGGGGATTACCAATAGACCCCTGGCTGTCTTCAAGAAGACACTGGACAGGCACCTAAAGTCAGTACCTGACCAGCCGAGCTGTGGTTCGTGCGTCGGGTTGTGTGCTATCAACAGAAACAGCCTGGTTGATCAGACCCTGATCCACCATGAGACCTGGTCACAGACCGGGCCGCGAGGGTGTTGACCCCCGAAACCCTCGCCAGGTATACTCCAGGTATTATATAGGAGAGGCCTGAAGACATGATTGATGAATAGAGGATAGGTGGCTTTAGTGACTGAAAATCTACTGGGTTGATTTTGGATTCTATTTTTAATTTGCAATTTTTAATTGTGTAAAATTAGTCGAATTACTGAATTTGTGCTTTTTATAAGGTAGCTCTGATAAGTGAATGGTCAGTTTCTTGTGCATAGTCAAGAGAATGGAAAGCATACTAGCAAAAGAGCAAAGCACTTGGTGGAATTGAGCAGTGGGATTAGCTTAAAATAGGACTCATATTGGGCAAAATCACTTTATTAGGGAATTGAATGCAAATTGAAGGTACTGACAAGAGTTTTTTTAACCCTTTGAGAGGTCAAGAGGCCAAATCTCAGAGTGACAGCCAGGGTCCAAGAATTTAACAAAAATTGCTTTGCTATTTTTTCTTATAAAATGATAGAAAATCTTTTTCTGAAGGTAATAAAACAAAAAGTACGAAGTTTGATGGAAAATTGACGAAATTATGCTCTCGCGAATTTTGATGTGTCAGCTATATTTACGAATCGGCGATTTTGCCGACTTTGACTCCCATTTTAGGCCAATTACATTATTCCAGCCGGCCAAATTGTTAGCTATTTTGCTAGTATTACATCTATTTTATCGATTGAGCACAAGAAATCACTCAGTCAACTGTTTCAACTACCCAATGAAGTGATTGGAAATTGGCAGTTTGGCCAATTTAACACAAAGTTCAAAATATTCCAATTTGAAAATAGGGTCCAGAATGAACAAAGCAGGCATTCCTGGCACTAAACTAACATTTCCTGTGTTTATTAGTATGTTTTCAGGCTTTACAAATGAATTCCATTTTGATCTTTAATTCACATAATGAATTTTTATTCACACCAAAAAATAGAAGATTTACTGTTATGTAATATTGTAATAATTGTATAAATAATATCAGCACATTTGTGAACATATATTAGACCTCTCAGGTGACGTGTATTAGATGCGTGATGTCATTTGTTTACTCTGGAACATCCAAAAAATTGAACATTTCCTTTAAGGTGAGATCCTCTGACATTATCACCCCTAGTGATATTAGTTTTTTGCTCTCGTGTGTGGTTAGAATTTGTTTTATACTCCATTCTAGTTTTTTCTCATGTTTTCTGAATCAGAGTAAACAAAACTTGCCTTCATTGAATATCATCCTGTTTTCTGCAACCCTTTGGAAGACTTGGTGTATATCCTGTTAGAGATCTACAATGCCCTCAGTGGATGACACTCACACAAATTCTAGTATCACCTGCATAGGAGGAGGATGTGCTACCTTTAGCTACCCTTCTTATTGTACATATGATTGTAGTTAACTGCATAAGGAATCTTACTTAATAGTCTGTCTTGCACAGATATTAAGTAGGATTAAGTGTGTTGCATATTACTGGCTCTCTTTTGTGCCTACCAGTGTTTTATTACATGTAAACTACATTATTTGTACTGCATAAAGAAATAAAAATTGTATAGCAAGTCTAGCAGGAGCAACATAGGCACCTCTGCTCCATATTAGCTAAGTGAAATCATTCCATAATGTATGCTTAGTCACTACATAAAATTGCAATAAAAAAAGTACTATATTTCTAATTTGATCATGACTGTAGTAAAATAACATATACACTAGGCATCATAAATATGCACAGCTTCCCATAACCTATTGTTTTAAATATCCAATACTGAAATATGTGTGTGTTCTTTACCTAGACTAGCATTTTGTAGGATTATCCTTCCTCTTGATGCAACCCATAAGCCTCCTAGGCATTGATAAGGGTAACTTATGTAGGATAGAAAATTCAAAACCCTCCCACACCTGCTTAATTGCACTCAAGATTTTGGGATTTGAGGACAAATTCATGTCATAATTAAGTCATGTCAGATTTAAGTTCAGTGAGTTTCTAGGTCAGTCATTAAAGTATGTAAAAATCATGATAATTTAGGCAATTCTTTGTCAGTGTGGCAAGGAGCACCATCTTCTATACAAAAGTTGCTCTGGCATTTCTCAAATCTGTCATGCATGTTTATGATGCCTAATGTACAAGTTAAAATATTATTTTATTTCAAAAGTTTTTTAGAAGCACTATGATACTTATGTTAGTCTACCATGGAAGGGATTAATGTTAATTTGTATTGAATTTCTTTGCAGCACCATGCCTCCTAGACCAGAGGTTACATATAACTGGATTAATATAACCTCAGAATTCTTCCATGCTACAAAGGGTAAGGAAATACATTTACTTTTTCAGTAACTCTTAATTTTGTCTTCAAGAGAGAGATGTTGTTGTTGATATACTCTTGAGCTGAGAAACTGGAGCTGATTTAGTGCCTCCCTTTTTCTGGATCAAACTTGATTACCTCCCATAACCTCTGCATTGTTTTTAATCATATATAATGATTATATGTAAATGGTAATGATATACTGGAACCTTGGGTTAGGAGTTTAATCCGTTTTGTGACCTAGCTTGTACTAAAAATTTACTCTTTTCCCAAAATTTTTTTTCCCTTTAAATTAATTAAAAAAAGCCAAAAATTTCCTTTTCCCACTCTGGAGACAAAACAAAATTTTAAATTTATGACACCTAATATAAACTATAGGCCTTATTTTTTTAAACCAATTAAATCAAATATGACATAAATCAAAACAAAAAATTTAACACAGAAACCAGGAAAATATACTGTACCCCTAGAATGAAAAAAATAGGCCAAGATATGGTGGAAAGGGGCGGGGCCGGGGAAAAGTATCCCCCCTATTTCCTATCAAACTTTTGACAAATAGTATTTTCCCCAAAGCCCTTATTGTAAGAGAAAACGAGTATTTGTGAGGCTGTTTGCAGAAAAATTGTAAAATAAAAACTTTAATCTAATACACTACAGAATGCAAAAAATTTTTAAACCCTGTTTTTAAAAGTGATATTTTAACTTACACATTTGGGCAGAAATGGGGGGGGAGGTTGGGGGTGGGGGATGTTGAGGGTGGAGGATGTTGGGGGTGGGGATGTTGAGGGTGGGAGATTTTTTGAGGGGTGGGGAGTTGGGGGTGGGGGATTTTTAAAGGGGGGAGGATTTTGGGAAGGGGGTGGGGGGGAATGTTGAGGGTGGGGGATGTTGAGGGTGGGAGATGTGAGGGGGGAGGATGTTGAGGGTGGAGGTTTTTTTGAGGTGGGAATTGTGGGACTGACCACTTTCCCCAAAGGTTGAGGGACTGTTTAAACCTAAAATTCCCTCCTCCTGTTCTTCAAATTCTCCTTTGTTTTGGACTGATGAAGCCACTGTGTGGCAAAAACTTTTCCCCTCAATAAAGATACCCAAGATTTGCCCCAAAGTCTAATTTATAACATGGGCGGTTCTCTGAACCATTCATCAAAAAACCCCGTCAGAACTGCAACTTCTTTGGGGTCTTAATAATTTGGGGAAACTTCGGGGTTGCCTAATTCTTTGGGGACGTAAAACCCCTTTTTTTTCCAAAAACCCCTTAAACAAATGTTACACGACCCGTGACTGCTGCACCTCTCCCCCCAACGGGTTTTTAACCCTTCTCAGCACGAAAAGGGGCCGGGAAATTTTAAATTTAAATTATGGACTGGAAACCCCATCGACTTTAAGGTTGGGGACTGATTAACCCTCATTCCCCCTCCTTTTCTCAAATTCTCCTTTTTATGGACTGAGAAGGGCCCCGTGTGGGGGAAACGTTTCCCCCAAAAAAGGGTACCCAAAGTTTGGCCCCATGTTCTAAATTTTTCAGGGTGGGGGGGGTGTTGAGGGTTTGGGGGATTTTAAAGGGTGGGGATGTTGAGGGGGGAAGGGATGGAAGGGGGAAAAGGGTTTTGATGGGGAGGGTGTTGAGGGTGGGGGGTGTTGAGGGTTTTGGGGATGTTGAGGGTGGAGGGTTTTAGGGGAGGATGTTTGAGGTTTTTTGGGGTTGAGGGGGGGAGAAGGGTTTAGGGGGGAGGGGTTGGGGGGTGGAGGATGTTTAAAGGGGGGGATTTTGAGGGGGGGGGATTTTTAGGGGGGAGGAAAGTTGAGGGTGGAGGATGTTGAGGGGGGAGGGGTTTTAGGGGGGGAGATGTTTTAGGGTGGAGGATGTTGAGGGTGGAAAGGGTGTTTGAGGGTGGGGGGAAAGTTGAGGGGAGGATGTTGAGGGTGGGGGGATGTTGAGGGGGGGGGATGTTGAGGGTGGAGGATTTTAGGGTGGGGGGAAGTTAAGGGGGAGGATGTTGAGGGTGGAGGTTTGAGGGGGGGGGAAATTTTGGTGGGGGATGTTGAGGGGGAGGAAAATTTTAGGGGGGGGGATGTTTAGGGTGGGGAGGGGGGAGGGGGGAGGATTTTTTAGAGTGGGGGAGTTTTAGGGTGGAGGGTTTTGAGGGGTGGAGGAATTTTAGGGGGGGGAGGATTTAGGGTGGGGAGGTTGAGGGTGGGGGGATGTTGAGGGGGGAGGATGTTTAAAGGGGGGAGATGTTGAGGGTGGGGGAGTTAGGGTTTGGGGGGTTGAGGGGGGGGAGTTTAGGGGGGGGGGATGTTGAGGGGGGGAGATTTTGAGGTGGAAATGTAAAAGGGTGGGGATTGGGGGGGGGGGGTGGGAGATGTTGTGGTGGGAAAAAGGGTTTGGGGTGGGAATGTTTAGGGGGGGGGGATGTAAAGTTTAGGGGGGGGATGTTGAGGGGGGGGGGAGGGGGGGGGAGGTTTTATTTGGGGGAGGAGTTGAAGGGTGGGAAAATTTTTGAGGGTTTGGGGGGTTTTTGGGGGTGGGGGGGGTGTTGAAAGGGGGGGGGATGTTTTAGGGTGGGGAGATGTTGAGGGTGGGGGATGTTGATGGGGGGGGGATGTTGAAAGGGGGGAAATGTTTTAGGGTGGGAGATGGGGGTTTAAAGGGGGGGGGAAGGGGTTTAGGGGAGGATGTTGAGGGGGGAGGGTGTTGAGGGGTGGGGGATGTTGAGGGTGGGAGATGTTTTAGGGGGGGAAATGTTGGGGGTGGGGGGGAAGTTGGGGGGGAGATGTTTTAGGTGGGGGATGTTGAGGGGGGGGAGGTTTTTGGGAGGATGTTTAAAGGGGGGGGTTTTTTGAGGGGGGAAAATTTTTGAGGGGGGAGATGTTTTAGGGGGGAGGATGTTTTAGGGTGGGGGTTTTTGAGGGTGGGGAAAATGTTTTAGGGGGGGGGAGGTTGATGGGGGAGGAAATTTTTGGGGGGGGGAGTTGGGGTGGGGGATGTTGAGGGTGGGGAGAAAAATTTAGGGGGGGGGAGGGTTTAGGATGCCTGGGATGATTTTATGGCCCTGTAAAAAACCCCAACAAACCCCTTTTTTTGTTGATCGCGGGAAATTAAACTGATTTCCAATTTTTTTAATGACCGAAAAATAACTGATACAGCGTTATACTTTCTATCATTTGATGTACTAACTTTGGGAAGCTTGGCTAAGTCCAAAGGAAAAACATTGTCTTTTTTTTCTCAGCAAATGTCCGCTTTCACTTTTTTTTTTTTTAGGACCCCCTGGTCGAAAAAAGAATTTGGCCAAATGACTGTAAAAAAAAAAAAAAATTGGGAAGCAAGAAAGAAGAACTGCTTTCCCACGCGGGTTAAAAAGGCCCTACTGGGTTTCGGATAAAATTTTGGCATCAGCTGTGCCAACCGGGGGCAGCATTCTGAATTATTATTACCCTAAAATATTTTTAAATTTTAATATTTTTAAATTTAATTTTTGGGGAACTGAAACACAGGTTCAAAATTTCCCCCAGTTAAAAAAGCCCCTCACCAGCTTCCCAAATTTCCTTAAAGCTGGTTTAGGGGCCCTTTTTATTTTGGGAATTTTGGGTCCGAGATCTAGTTTCCTAAATTTAAAATAATAATAAAATTTTTATTTTTTTAATAAGAACGCCGCCAACTCGGGGCAACTTTTACCTTGCCAAATTTTTAAAATTTTTTTTTAAAGCCGGTCTTTTAAAAAAGTAAGTGTAAAACATTGCCCGGGAAAAAAAAAGGGGAATGATTTCCTGAATTAAAGCATGAAATCCAAAAGGTTTAAAAAAGCGAGGGGGTCCCGTTTTGGGTTTAGGGGGGAACAGGGGGGGAGCTTTGGCCCCGGGGGCTCAAATGTTGGGTCGTAACTCAGAGGGAAAAAATCGGGGCCGGGGTGGCCATTTTCTCCCAAAAAAAATCGACCTTTTGGGGACCTTTAATCCCAAATTTTCCCCTGTATCTCGATTTTCTTCATTCCCCCAAGGCTTGCAAATGCTGTTTTTTCCCTTTCTAGAAGCAAAAAAAACCAATTAAATTTTTTCGAAGTGTACGAAAAAATTTAATTTGCTGCAATTTGACAATATGTAAAAGGAGAAAACGTTTTTAAAAAAACCCTTGGGGAATGTTGGTCCACATTTTATAAAATAGCAATAACTTTAAAAAAACTGAAATTTGGAAAGTTTTTCCCCCCATAAAGAAAATGTGGGAAAGGTTTACAGAATGAGGGAAACAAAATGAAAGTGAACAGGTGGTGCCCCAGGTGCCCCTAATAGTGAAATGGGTTTAAAAAGCTTTTACATTCTAGCCCGGGTTTCTTTTGTGGGTTTTCCCATTTTATTACATTTAAACTACACAATTTTTATTGTACAAAGAAAAAAAAAGGGTTTTGATTTTATGAGCTTATAAAGAATTTTTGGGTAAAATTTTTAAATGTCCCCTACATGGAACCCTTGTTTTTCGTAATTTAAACTGTTCCAAAAAGTGTGGGCTAATGGGGAAATTGGCAATTTGCAAAACCAAATTTTCCCCCAAAAAAAATAATTAAACCAATTTAATGCGTTTCCCGCCCCCCAAAGTAAAACTTGGAGGAGGGGGAAAAAGGGAAAGAGGTTTTTTCTTTGGAAGGGGAATCCCCCCCCCAAAGGACTCTAGGGCCAATCCTTATTTCCCGGGGTCACTTCCTTTGTTTTTTTAAAACCCCTTTGGGGGGGTTTCGGAAAGTACTAAAGGTTTCACCGGGGGTTTTTTACGGGACCATTTCCCTTAAAAATTTTAAACACCCCCAAAACTATGGGAAAAGGGTAGGGGCCACATATGAAAGAATGGTCTATGTGGTCAGGTGCACATTTAAAAAAAAAAAACCTGCAGGGACACAGTGCAAAATGAGGAGAAAAAAAACTTTTTACCGTTTTTTTTTGGGAAAAAAACAGCGAAATTTTTTCAAATGTTTTTTTTCGTATGGTTTTATTGTTGTTTCAAATTTTCCCTT